TTTCAAAATTAACCGTTTTTTATCCAATTAAATCAGTGTTACAGTAGTTACTCAGATGTGTCGTAAAAAAAGAGTTCTTTTACACACTTTTTAAGGTCTAGGAAGAGACACGTAAATACAATTTTTGAATTCTAATAATTTTTAAGTTATTTTTTAATTCTTTTTCTTTCTCCTTTCTCTGTCCAATTATTTTAGAGAAAAATAAATTATTTAGAGTATTGTAAGAAACTGGGTGGCAGCCTATTCACCACTCTTTAAAGTAAAAAATAAGTAAAAACTATTTTTTTTATTATGAAAACTGCTCTAGAGATGTCTAGTTTTCTCTAAAAGGACACATCAATACTTGAATCTCATGTTTATGTTTTATATTTTTAAAGAAAAAAATATGTGGATATTTTTATGGCTTATTTGTTTATTAGTACTAACTTAATTTTACTTTACATACCTTCTATTATATCTATAAATTATTGTATTTATTCCTATTTACCCCCACCTTAAGGTGTGTGTCTCAGAAAAAAAAAAAAAACAAAACCAGTTGCATTCCATGGCATTTAATCTACCTTCATTGAATGCCAAAAAACCCTGAAAGGATTTACATGGTTTTCCAAATACATATTATTTATTAACCATACATTTTTAATAAGTGCATTCAGTATAACATAATATCATATTCATAATAATATTATTTATTTTAAATATATATTATAAAATATAAAAAGCTGTACTATATGACATGTTAGGTTAATTTCCACATTGAAAGGATAAATTGAATTTGTAAAATTTGTATCAATGCATCACTTGGTAACCCTAAACAAAAAAAGGGGGATTTTTTTTCACAAATGAAAATTAAGATTATTAAAGGGGGATATATTTTTAATGTTTATAGATTCAGGAAACAAATAAAAGAAAAAATAATTTTTAATCCCAGACATGGCTTGTCACGGGGGCATTGGGAACTGTTTAATATGGTCAGCATCCTAGTCAGCTAAAAAAACAACGGGAACCTAACCAGAAAAAAGGGAAACATTATAAAAAAACAAATTTCAAAATGAATTGTGAGATTTCATATTACATTTCATCATATTAGAATGTATAATAATAATAATAATATAAAAAAGCTGCTTTGAACATAAATAAAATAAATAAAGAAAAGTTGAAAAATAAGTCATGAAGACGAGTTTGCAAGCCATCAAAAACTGCGCACATTGAGCCAATGGTTGTGTTGGGTTGAGTTCTGTAATGTCTAATCTGTCATGCTTTCCTGCGCACTTTGCCGTCTCCCCTGCCTCAACGTGGCCGACATCGCTTACCAAGCTCTCACCTAATCCGCTGCCGAAACCTATTCTTCTCCACCGATTCTTCCGGAGATGCCCCTTCTGCGTCTGTGGATTCCGATTCAACCCCAAGGTGTTTCGGAAAACTTACTAGGAATAGATTCTAACCGCAAAGGCTTTGGGTAGCAAGGAAGGACCCTCCACTCAATGAATAGCGAATACAAAACAACCAGTATGTCTCCTTAGATTGATTTCCAAATTACAGGTCTGACTTCTTTTTATGTGATTTTTTGAATTGATTTGCATGAAAACGCTGGTACTTTCCTTTATGGGCCGCGTTTATTTGGGTCCCGATGGAGGTGGATAGTTGGATAACTTGTCGTTGGTTGTATTCTTGTGTTGGGACGGGTTTCTTACGTTTCATGGAAATTGAACTCTTTGTTAGTTTTTAAATGTTTTTATAATTGGGGGTTTACCTAAGATATGCTCCTCTGTAATTGCATGTCATGTTTTGTTCGTTGTTGTAGTGATTTTTTTCATGTGTACTATTTTGTGTAATTGTAGGTGACATCATTAAGACTTTGAAGGAAAATGGGTTCGAGTATACATGGGGTAATGTGACAGTGAAGCTGGCTGAAGCATTTGGATTCTGTTGGGGAGTTGAGAGGGCTGTTCAAATTGCTTACGAGGCCAGAAAACAGTTTCCTACTGAGACAATATGGCTCACCAATGAAATCATTCACAATCCTACCGTTTCTAAGGTCTCTTTGGATTTCCTTAACCATAAATAATGTCCATTTTTTTAGTAGGTAGTTTGAAGTCATGCCATTGTTCAGGAAGTTGGTAAAAAAATTTATTCGTATCCTGAATTTGATGGTCGATTGCCGCCCTTTTTCTTGTAAACACTGTTTTCTAATGTTCATGAGTTGTTCATGCAGAGGCTAGAGGATATGAAAGTGCAGAATCTTCCTCTGGAAGAAGGTTCTAAACAATTTTTTTTGGTGGGGGAAAAAAAAACATGTATCGACAATGGTGATGTATCATAATTGCCACTTTTGGAGGCAGCATGGAAAGATGTTGACTTTGAGGTGAGAAAAATTTTCGGATGTTGATACCCCTTGTCCATGGGTTTGCAAGGTACTCTTTTTGTATATTGGTTTGATATTGTGGCTGATCTGCACAACTTCAATTCTATTGTCATGTATCACCAAATACTGATGATTAAACATTCTTCAATAAATTGGTCTTTAAGTTTGGAATTCCGTTGAAAAGCACAAGCAAGGAGATTATAACCTCTGTACTTCATGGTAAAATACGCCCATGAGTAAACTGTGGCAACTGCTTCTTTTGCTGGAAAATATATTATTGTGAAATAATGTCAGAGGTCTGTCCTAGGCTGCTGCTTTACTCAATATGTGTGTGGTGAATGCCTTCAAGAATTTGTTGTAATTTTTTTATGACTGTTACTTTATACAGGCTGAATATGTTTGTGACTATGTTCTTGGTGGTGAACTTAATGGGTCCAGTTCAACCAAAGAAGCATTGTTAAGTAGCTGTTTGTTATCATGTGAATTAATCTTGTTTTCTAAACCTGTAGTTTTCACTATATGCATTGTTATGATTTATTATGTGGCACAAACAGAAAAAATTAAATTTGGTGTCTGTTTCCAAGGGGTTGATCCAGACAAGTTACCTGGCTAAGCTTGGCATCGGGCAACTCCAGACAGGACAACTGGCTCAAGAGAGACAGAAGAGATTGGTTTGTAATTTTTTTGGAGCGTTCTGTGTTGTTGTGGGTGGTGTGTAATCACATATCTTTTATCATTTATCATAGTCCTTATGGTATGTATTGTCGCTGATTATGGCAGGAAACTATTGGAGAGGACTATGATGCGCAAATATGAGTGTGGAGTAACGTCACGAGCACTCATTCGGCGCTCAACACCATTTTGTGATGTCTACACAGGCCTACTGTGGGTCTGTGGGTTTCGGTTGTCCTTTCCCCCTGCTTAGTCCCGTTACCGTCCATACGTCTTTCGTCTCTATCCCCTTGTCGATTGTGTATTTGACATGCTTTTTCAGTCAGTAGCAGTACATCTTTGTCTCCATTCATAACAGATTCTAGATGACTTAATTGGCGCGGGTCAGTTCTGTTCTTTACGCTTTCTTTCTATCACAACTCTAATGCTTGACTTATTCTTCACAGAACGGTGACAATGTATTGCTCTATTGTAACAGACTGGTTGGAGGAACCTGTGGATCTTAATATTATAGTTGGTGGTTATGGCATCGCTAGTCAATTTATCATCATACATTTCTCTGCATTACTCTGCCGTCGCTGTTTCTGTATTACCTCACTGTCTACCTTACTCGCTCTGCGCTTTGGTAGTTGACTCCTATTCGGCAACCCGCCCTTTCCCCTTCTTCCTATTCTGCATTACAGTGTAAGCAAAGACATTGGTCCCCCTCTAGACCCACACAAACTATTCCCCACCAATGGCTTTGAACGTAAGGCGTGCATTACAGTAGATTTTTAGCGTTTTAACTAGTTAGTAACTCATTTATAGTTTCCTTATTTATTTCAGCTAAATTTTTTTTTTCTGACGCATAGCATGAGAGTCGATGGAGACATAGAAAACTTGCGGTTGCCCTAGAAGTCAATAACAATTGTGTCACATCACAAGTGCATCCACTCCAGACAAGGTAACTTTTAGGCCTTTCATTCTTCTTTTTTTTCATTCTTCTTTTTTGTGGATTTCTCCAGCATAGTTCTGCATTTTTTAAACTTGTAGCAAATGTATTTTCATCTCCTATTTTAAACTATCGTGATATATCCAACTCAGATGGTTACTTACCCATGAAATATCTGATACAAGTGACCTTTGTCATATTTATTTAAATTTCTAATGACGCGGTGTGCTTTCACTTTTTGTTAGTATTCTATTCAATTTCGTTTAATACTATTTTGCATAATTGGTTTTCAAACAGGCTGTTGAAGATGCACTCATCAAGATTTTTGAGTTGAAACGTAAAGAAGCTATGCAACTTGTGTAGAGTAGGTCTGCATACATACATTGTCAATGTATACATGAAACGAGGGATTTATTTTATAGGAGTTTTATAGCCCTATGTATTGTTGGATTTATTATCAATAACAAAAGTTCAAGAGTTCTTATAAATGTTGCCATGTTACCTCTATATTTGGTTACAAGCTCAGCTGATGTATGGCCTTTGTCACTACAACGGAATGCTGGAAGTCTTAATAAATAAACGGAAAGACAAGAGGTTTCATCCTTCTTAATGCATTAGAATAGGACCCGGTAACATCATGGACTAATCAATTTAGAAAAACTTGATTACCAACCCAGAATTCACTCTCCGCGAGCATATAGATATATATTTTGCTTGTGGGTTTCGGAATATTTTGTGGATCATGTTTATGAAAAAAATTTCTAATTCTACTTGATTTTCTGTTCAATGAGGAGCTAAAATAACACAAGACATATGAATATTGATTAAACTGGCTCTATAGCAAAAAAAATTACAGGAAATATACATGTATGTTGAACTGAGTATGTATCTAAATAAGGTCAATGCAATAATAACTGTAAAAGTTTTCTTGAGTTGCTTCTGGAAGGCATCCTTCGAGCAGTTGTAAAATCCTTGGTTGATCAAGTAATCAGGGCACTTCCTTGATGGGGAGTTTCATGTATTTGTAATGCCAAATACTATATCACTCTGTATAGGTTCTAATTGATAAAATTTGCAATAAAACTACTTATGAACAAGAAATAAAGAAGTGAAATAAACTAACTTATTCGAGATGATAAACCACCAAACATCCCCACTTTTGAAAAGTATGAAAAGCTTGCAAAAAGATTGAGATTCATAAGTTGATTTTAATTCATAAGTTTGATTCATTTACTTTTTGTTTTCTTTTCTGTAAGTGTTAATGAACGAATTTATCCAAATTGATCATAATAATCCATTATAAGTTGCAGTCATCCAACTGAAGAGCAACTTTACCCATCTTGATGTCTCAAGCTAACCACTAATGCTATCAGCTTGCTTAGACAGAGTTGATTCAACAATTTCGGGGACTTTATCAAGTAAGAGGTTCATCTCCTCCGGAAACTCCATCTTTGCTCTGTTAGTCTTTCCTCCAATGAAGACTGTTGTTCCATCTTGTAAAGCCCATATCTGAATTGACCAATAAAAAATTGACGGTCAATAATATGCAATTTTTCAGTCCTGGTCAAATGAATCATGCTATTTGTTAAAAAATGTATGTGCTACATTGACATTGACATTTACTTGAAAGGAAAATTTCAGATGATATAGCAATATTATTTAGCCAAAAGTCACCATCACTTGTTTCTTCGTCAGAAAAAAACGCCATTATCACATGGAGAGAGAATGGACAATGTCAAACAATTGGAAGAAAATTCACCTGTGAATGAGATAAATAGCTGATGCAAGTAGTGATCATTAGAGCACCAAATCCAGCATATACAACTGGCACACCTGGATCAGTCTGTATAAATAAAACGAATTAATGACAGAGTCGAAACACCTGCTGAATGTTTTTAGTTTAAGGTGGCACCTTCAAGTCCAAGCCACTACTTCCTATTGCATCAACAATGACAATTTCTGATCCATCAATATTGATTGGGAGCTTTGAATTAGGGCGTCTAACTCCCACAAATTTTCCTTCTTTATCATAAAGGACGATTGATTGTAGATCACGAGCAAGCATAGATCTAAAATTCAACACAACACAAGAAAGTAAAAGGGATGAGAAGAGATGAAGATGATGTTTTGGTATCACACCTAATTTCCAAAAACTTACATTCCCTTAACGTCAGTAGAGTTAATATCTCCAACCGGTAGAAAAGTACCAAAAAGTTTCTTATCTCCATTGATCTGTAAAGGTGCCATAGCCAAGTTATAGGGTCCTTCATTATCCTTAAGAATTTGCAGAGCCGAAATACTCCAATCTGTTTGATATATGGTGATACCACCGTATCTTAAAGGATCATTTACACTGATTGTCTTCCTCATTACTTCTTTCCCATCCATGTTACGAAGGGAAATATCAGTGTAGAACTGTGAAACCTGTAAAATAAACCAAGAATCAACATTTTACTGACCTTTTCAAGTATCATTATGACAATTTCATAGAAAACAAAAATCTCTTTTACCTCTCCACTCTCATAATAATCCATTGAGAATCTGTTGACATGAATCTCTGTATTAAAAGCCTCAGTTGGGGAGGAGAGAAAGCCAGAAGGAACCAGAACATCACCAACAACAAAATTCAGCCCCTGGGGCACAGTGACCGAACCTCTGAAGCTCCCAGCAGCACTAACAGTTCCTCCAGCCATTACAAGTAACAGTGCTATATGAACTCCAACAGGGGCCAACCTACCTGCAAGTCCTTTAAAGGCATATAAAGATGGTCCTTTCAAGAATACCTATCATCCAAATTACACTTTATCAGCCCAAATATATTCAAGTTCATTGTTGGCCAGTAACAATGAGAATGAAGTAATATTTTATGGTAGTGAATATTAGATTTTAAAGGGATAACATAACAACAGGAAAAAGGTTGGAAGAGCAAGGATGAGAATGTAAGATAGATAGATTTGTGAACAGTTATATATATATAAAAGACAAAACATAAAATGATTGCGTATGATGAGGCATGGTGTGGCACCGATTGATGAAAGATTGCAAAAAAATCAGTTAAAGTGGTCTTAACATGTGCAAAGGAGATCACTAGACACACTGGTAAAAAGAGTATTGCATGGTTTTTGAGTCTATGAAGAGGGAAACCCATAAAGACATTGAAGGGAATTGTTAACAGAGATCTTATGATGAGTAAGTATATTATTGATAATTTGGCCTTTAACTGACTCCAGTAAAGTTATGTAAAGCATGTAGTCAGTCTCACTAACTGATATAATGTTTTGTTGTTACTGTTGTTGGTTAATAAAAGATCATTTCCTAAATATGTCTAATGGAATGTTTGATTCTATAGGATATAAGGAAAAGCAAATAGTTGAACATGAGTAGGGGAACTACAACCTCGTATCCAGCTCCCATCAAAAGAGTACCAACATCTTGGATTGATGCTCTTGGCAATGATTCTGAAAATTCTTGCTTGCGTATAGCCTCAGCTGAATGCAAAAATGACCATCTATGGAACAATTTAGGCCTTCAGTGGAAAAGAAACTTCTCAACTCAGGCATTATGGATAGATAAAAGTGAGAAACAAACCTTCTTGAAACCGTGATGAGGGGGAGTTGAGTTGTGTATGTGCAGGCCATTAGGGATGCCCCCAGGAGAGCCAACACTCCAAGAAATACAGGGGACGAAAACATGTGATCAAAACCAAGGGCGAGAATCCATCTCCAAGTAAAAAATCCAAACACAGGATCATCTTCAGGGTATTTCTGGATATAAAAGTCAGGAGCTTCACCTTGTTCAATAATTGTTCCTGGCATAGAAGCATAAGTTTAAGTCATTGTGATCATATTAAAGCACATTTTGCAGTCACAGAAAATTCAAGTGATAGTGTGTAAAGTTACAATGGCACCCCTTAAGCCATCATAAGATCTCCCAAAAATTTCAGGAGCTTCTGCTTCTGCTTCATCATCAATCCTCTAAATAGAAACAAGGATAAACGTGCAAATATTTATACAGAGAACATTGTGATTTCCAGCGCACACCACCAATAAAATAATTGGGCATGAGCTATATGATCATGATTTTATATGTAGCAAAAGAGTAAAAGATGTTTGGTTCATTTGAACAAACTTATCATATACATGAATAGAAAAACTAGAACGAAAGTGAAATCAATTATTCTATAAACTAAAAATAACTTATAATTTGTAGAAGCTATTTTTGTGTTAGTTACAATAAAATTATTGTTTTAACTGAGACATAAGCTAATTTAGCTTATAGAAACATTAATATTTTTTCTCTACTAAGTTTGATGAATGAGTTTTTTCTTCACATGCTCATTGTCTCTAAAAGGATTGTGATGTTAATCTTCTAGAATACACTTAGGAAAGAAAAGTTAGGATTGTTCACTCAAAGTTCTATACTTGTATACTTTAATCTTCTTGTTATTGCAGTTACAAAAGAGAGGGAAAAAGTAAGAATCTCAATTAAGGAATACTCTTAATTCAAGAATCTAAAAAGGGTCCATTGAATTTGAGAAAAAGGAACTGAAATAGAATCCAGAAAAGTAATAATCAATTATCTTCTAGGAATTGGTTTCATCATAATAAGCATAGATGGAATCCACAAAGACCACCATTTGTTGGTTTCGAGTAGACATTTCATGTTTTCATCTCCTCTTCTACTAACAGTTACAAAATGGTGTACTCATTTCGTTCTTTTTACATATAAATCAACAACAAACTTTCATGAAAATATTAAAATTGTTTATTCTTTCTATGTCTATATTTAAATTAATTATAGATTAGATAAGATATGAAGGTCTAATAAACTAAGAATAATTAATGTCGTCTTAAACTTCAAAAATTATAGCTAAATAAAATATAAAAACTTTAAAAAATGACACTTTAAATATATAAAAACACAGTTTTTACATTACCCAAAATACAAAATTACTCCCTACATCATAACATTTTTCCTCAGAAATTTGCTGTAAGATAGTTTTAGTTGAATGATGCATTAATTATATTTTCCCTAAAATTCTCTTAACCAATTGAGAATGTTTGTATATCTTACAAAATGGAATGTTTAATGAAGAAAAATATCGGATAGGTTTGGATACTTGATACATACTAATGACTTATCATTGAAGCAAAGGTAACATATGGTTAATTGATGGTAATAGAAAGAAAAGAGGAAAAGTGAAGCATATATGCATACCCAAAGCCATCAAAGCAGCAGCAGCAAACATGTCCGCAATAGCCAATGGCAAACTAGAGAGAATCTGCAAAGTCTTTCTTCTGAGCATGTTGAGCAACCCAAAAGGGCCTCCCTTTTTTTTCTTTGAGCTCTGTGGAACATCCCCAGTGTCACCATTGGTGCCATCATCCTCAGTGAGTGGTGGAGAGGAAGCTTCTGATAAGACAATCTTCTGGGACACGCTCTTCCCTTTGTTTTCGACATCTTGGGAGCTTTTCAGCTTGCAGCTGATGGTGAATGGAAGCTTGTGAGCTCTGTTTGCAGCATGGCCGAATGGATTGAATTTGAAGAAGGGATGAAAGATAGAGACTTTGAGGAAATGAGTATTGGGAAGACATGGATTTGTGGAATTTATGGCACTGAAAGCCTTCATGGATCCACACTTTAGGAACACTCTGTGTTGAGGATTCGTGATTAGCTCTCTGCGTGTGACCCATAACGACCACACCAGTTTCTTTATCCATATGCTAGATATTTCCATATAATATATAAAATAATAAACATGAACTTACTGCACATAATAGTTTTTCTTGGGAAAACAAATATTATTGTTATTCTTGTTGGTACTCTTTTTTTTCATTTATAAGGCACCTTTTTCTTAATCTAGATTTTTCTGTAACAAAAAAAAATGAGTTTTTCAAATATAAGCAAGTTTTGATTATAAGATTATATAGATATAAAATTCAAATTATATAAAAGTTTACATACTTCATCATTATTAAGATAATATCATAGGTTCAATTATTAGATTAGTAAATTTTTATATGATAAAAGTTACAGGTGGTAGAGGAAGTTAATTCCTCCCCTTTACTTTTTACTGTGGCAATATATTAAAGAAAAGAATGTGATAACAAGAATAAATTATATTTAATATCACATTGCATATAAATTAAATTTAAAAAATTATTTAAAACCAAAAAGAAGAGGAAAAATAAAATATTAAAGTATAATCACTTTAATTACCAACTTTTTAAAATTATTATTTAAAGTGCGGTTGAAAGGAAAGACTTCTCTAAAGATCAAGAATCATTTTAGTAAGTAAACTATAAGGCCATACATAAAGTTTTAAGTGACAAAAGTACTCACAATAGAAAGACAATTTGTTAAGTCGGTAAATGATAGTTTCAAAAAATACCTATTAAAATTATCAACAGTACAGTTCTAGAAATTAACGATTCATTTTTTTTTAACGAGTACACTTATAAATTATCATTAAATTTCCTTAAATATATTGAGTTTTTCATATTTCACACACGTTAAATGTACTCATAGTTAGTAAATATTCAAAAAGATATACAAAATACTTCGTAAATATTAAAAAAAATACAAGATAATCGAAAAGTATTAACCAATCAAGATTAATCTATAATTGGATAACTTCCACTTTTTGGGATGTGTGATTATAAATAAAGTATAGGAATCATTAATTACATATTCATATATAAACCATGTTAAAACATTTGATAGTTTAAATTATTGAACACAACAGACATTAAAAAGAAATTTTTTAGTTCGGGCATGGTCCGTCTGTTTGATGGATAAGACCAAAACGTGCACTCTTAAATAGAATCTGTTTGATGGATAAGACCAAAACGTGCACTCTTAAATAGAAAAAACAAACACGCTGGTAGCACACACACTTCATTCACGTCCCCAAATGTTAAATAACTAATAACCTAAAATTAANTTCTTTTTACATATAAATCAACAACAAACTTTCATGAAAATATTAAAATTGTTTATTCTTTCTATGTCTATATTTAAATTAATTATAGATTAGATAAGATATGAAGGTCTAATAAAATAAAAATAATTAATGTCGTCTTAAACTTCAAAAATTATAGCTAAATAAAATATAAAAACTTTAAAAAATGACACTTTAAATATATAAAAACACAGTTTTTACATTACCCAAAATACAAAATTACTCCCTACATCATAACATTTTTCCTCAGAAATTTGCTGTAAGATAGTTTTAGTTGAATGATGCATTAATTATATTTTCCCTAAAATTCTCTTAACCAATTGAGAATGTTTGTATATCTTACAAAATGGAATGTTTAATGAAGAAAAATATCGGATAGGTTTGGATACTTGATACATACTAATGACTTATCATTGAAGCAAAGGTAACATATGGTTAATTGATGGTAATAGAAAGAAAAGAGGAAAAGTGAAGCATATATGCATACCCAAAGCCATCAAAGCAGCAGCAGCAAACATGTCCGCAATAGCCAATGGCAAACTAGAGAGAATCTGCAAAGTCTTTCTTCTGAGCATGTTGAGCAACCCAAAAGGGCCTCCCTTTTTTTTCTTTGAGCTCTGTGGAACATCCCCAGTGTCACCATTGGTGCCATCATCCTCAGTGAGTGGTGGAGAGGAAGCTTCTGATAAGACAATCTTCTGGGACACGCTCTTCCCTTTGTTTTCGACATCTTGGGAGCTTTTCAGCTTGCAGCTGATGGTGAATGGAAGCTTGTGAGATCTGTTTGCAGCATGACCGAATGGATTGAATTTGAAGAAGGGATGAAAGATAGAGACTTTGAGGAAATGAGTATTGGGAAGACATGGATTTGTGGAATTTATGGCACTGAAAGCCTTCATGGATCCAAACTTTAGGAACACTCTGTGTTGAGGATTCGTGATTAGCTCTCTGCGTGTGACCCATAACGACCACAACAGTTTCTTTATCCATATGCTAGATATTTCCATATAATATATAAAATAATAAACATGAACTTACTGCACATAATAGTTTTTCTTGGGAAAACAAATATTATTGTTATTCTTGTTGGTACTCTTTTTTTTCATTTATAAGGCACCTTTTTCTTAATCTAGATTTTTCTGTAACAAAAAAAAATGAGTTTTTCAAATATAAGCAAGTTTTGATTATAAGATTATATAGATATAAAATTCAAATTATATAAAAGTTTACATACTTCATCATTATTAAGATAATATCATAGGTTCAATTATTAGATTAGTAAATTTTTATATGATAAAAGTTACAGGTGGTAGAGGAAGTTAATTCCTCCCCTTTACTTTTTACTGTGGCAATATATTAAAGAAAAGAATGTGATAACAAGAATAAATTATATTTAATATCACATTGCATATAAATTAAATTTAAAAAATTATTTAAAACCAAAAAGAAGAGGAAAAATAAAATATTAAAGTATAATCACTTTAATTACCAACTTTTTAAAATTATTATTTAAAGTGCGGTTGAAAGGAAAGACTTCTCTAAAGATCAAGAATCATTTTAATAAGTAAACTATAAGGCCATACATAAAGTTTTAAGTGACAAAAGTACTCACAATAGAAAGACAATTTGTTAAGTCGGTAAATGATAGTTTCAAAAAATACCTATTAAAATTATCAACAGTACAGTTCTAGAAATTAACGATTCATTTTTTTTTAACGAGTACACTTATAAATTATCATTAAATTTCCTTAAATATATTGAGTTTTTCATATTTCACACACGTTAAATGTACTCATAGTTAGTAAATATTCAAAAAGATATACAAAATACTTCGTAAATATTAAAAAAAATACAAGATAATCGAAAAGTATTAACCAATCAAGATTAATCTATAATTGGATAACTTCCACTTTTTGGGATGTGTGATTATAAATAAAGTATAGGAATCATTAATTACATATTCATATATAAACCATGTTAAAACATTTGATAGTTTAAATTATTGAACACAACAGAAATTAAAAAGAAATTTTTTAGTTCGGGCATGGTCCGTCTGTTTGATGGATAAGACCAAAACGTGCACTCTTAAATAGAATCTGTTTGATGGATAAGACCAAAACGTGCACTCTTAAATAGAAAAAACAAACACGCTGGTAGCACACACACTTCATTCACATCCCCAAATGTTAAATAACTAATAACCTAAAATTAAAGCAAATTATAAAAAAAGACTATAATGTTCTCGATTGCTCAATTGGCTTACACAATCTATCTGATAAACGTCTCATGGTTTTTCAACTATAATTATCTCAGTAGGGAGTGGAAATCTGTAATTGTAGGTTACTGCTGCTGAGCCACTTTCGATGAATCTTCTAAAATGAAAGAGCTCCTTGTTTTTAAATACAAAAAGATGACAGTTTTACACTCTAAACAGTGATATTGGTTGCTGACATCCTTTTAGTACAAAAAGTAATCCTGCAAATACAAAAAATGCAAATTAACAGTATGATAGCGTGTTCAAAAGTGCCCCCACCTGGCAGGAAATAACGAAGTTTGATAATTTGATTATCGTTATGAATTTTATTTTATATGAAACTTGGTTACTCAGAACGAAATATTACACAAACTTAAAGCTCAATTGACGGTTCTCTCCCATACTTGGTATGTATGATGACAAGATTTTATCCCAAGCCAGACTTCCATTCTATTTTCCATGATGATCATGATGGAGTCTAGTAGTAAAAGAATGGAGGGTGAACATGTAGATAATGAAAATAATACAATATGTACCAAATTGAATTTTGAATGAAGCTGAAAATTCAATATATATGCGACAGAATTTGGAAAATGATTTAGAAATGCTGTACACTGAATAATTTCCGTTTCCAAAGAAGTCTAGACCAGATGCTTTGACCCTCACCCCCAAAGACAACGCCAAGAACAATAAAAAAAAAGGAACCTTGTGTGCATGTGCCTGGTACGGGGCACTAACATGGGCGTAAATCGTTCTTCTTTTTACCTTCATTTTATTTGGAGGAGCGGAACACCATTTCAGGTCTGCTTTGTTAACAGCTCAATGTCAGATCCGACTTCAGCAATCTTGGCATCCTTAGAACCCTTAGCTGCTTTTGCAATGTTCAAAACATCAAAATCCAGAGCTATTTTTCTGACGAGACCCTTAAGCATCTGTTTGAAGAAGATTAGACAAATAAAAAAATTGAGTGAAGATATTTAGAGGTAGATATGCTTCAAAGCACATGAGTTTATCATAAAAAAAATATTGTCTAGCGTGAAATTTTGTTGAATAATAACCTTCCTTATTAGTTTCCCAGATTCATGGATTGTCTGCATATATAAATATTTAGACACACAAAGAAGGATGTTTTTGAAATTGTTAGCTCAGGATTTCGTAATAAACAAAGTGTTAGTTTTTATTCTAGACCCGTAGTATAGTATATAATAACATAATGTCATATCTTATTCAAGTAAATCGTGTCTTTAAGACAAAGGTGATCCACTGAATAGGATATGAAACACACCTGCAGCCAAAATAATTTGCAAAAAGGTTGAGTAGCAGCGAGAGTAGAATAGTGTGATAAAAGGATTGGATTATTGGGTTTAAAAAAAAAAGAGTAAATTGTAACAAATAGGCAAAAATCATACAGTCACAGAGTTGGGACACAAATGCAGACTGGCTTGGCTTCCATCCTCAATAAAAGAAATTGAATTTATGCACAAATACAAGATATGTAACAGTAACAACGGACATATAGATTTGGAAAATCTGTAATCACAAAAGCAGATATTAACAAACATGCAAAACCGCGTATTTAAATGACACTGAAATGTAACATTTAGAACAGTTTGCCTTATATAGATACAAAAGAATGTTATCAAACACAAGACATCAGATAAAAACTAAAAATTACCAGAGATCCAACAGCAACCAAAGCACGAAATTTGGAATCAACTTCCACATTTTCATCCTCGGCAAGCTACACAAAAACAAAATGCGTAGTTTAGAAATAATAACATCTGAAGGTAGGATATTTGATTTTGAATAATCCAGACGCGTACAAAATGTAAATCAACACTGACTAGGTCCTTTTTAATCAAGTGTGGAGAAAGAAGCTTTCAATTTGGAGGTTTTCCATTTATGGGGAATATGACAGTGCATGAGAAATGCAGGTTTATTATAACAAAAATTAACATTGTTTAGGGCTAGAAATTTGCACTAATTAGATGACATTAACAAATTTTTTAGATGTCATTGTAGTTGCGACGTCCCTCAAGCCTTGATTTTGAAATTCTACAAGACAAGTATAATAGACCCAAAGATTGTCCTACAAGCGGTTTGATCATGTGAAAGGAACAATAGAGCCAACAGTAAGAGGAGGGAGAGAGTCCAAGATAATCTAATTAACAAGAGTAGAAGCCTAGAAGGAATACTGAAGAAAAAGGAGGAATAATTTAAAAGACCTTGTCCTAAATGATTTTATTGAAATCTTGTTTTTTGACAGAGACTAATGGAATTGATAAAGTCAAATTAACCTAGTAGAAGGTTTGGGGATGTAGTGGCAATTGTCATAGCTAGGTAAAAACAGTATAAGCAATACCTCAAGAGCTGCTGATAGAACTTGAGATTGACCTTCTTGATCATTTGATTCAATCAACAGCACAGCATAACTGCGAGGACCACATAAGAAAAAGTTACTGCATACTTAAATTTTGGACTATTAATATTGCATTTCTAAAGGGAAAATAGCTGCAATGATAAAATGTGAACTGAGATCTAAATACATAAAAGCCACCACCACTTTTCGTATCTATACTTTTGTTCATGCAGCAGGATGGTGAAGTAGAGTGACAAACCAAGCAAAAAAGAAATCATATGCCAATTACCCTCGCTTCCATTTTTTTCACCCACAAAGATAATAGAATTCATTTGATCTTTCTTTTATTTTCTTGGAGTGGGAAGAGGTAAGAAAAGAACCAGAAAGCACTAAAGCACTTCAGCACCTGAACATAGAGACAGTATCTTCTATTTGGAATTAACACAACCAAAAGACAGACACACACACACACACACACACAGAGAGAGAGAGAGAGAGAGAGAGAGAGAGAGAGAGAGAGAGAGAAAGAGAGTGAACTTCCAAAAGGTAAACTAAAATTACAAAAGAAATTAAATCTAGATGAAAAAATAATAGTGGAATTATGTCAGCCAAATAATAATAATTGATCATATAAATTTTTTTTCCAAAACAATGTTCACTAACTTATAGTCAAGATAAGACTAGATCATTTGTCCCAAACAAAGGACTTACTTTAGTAACAAGGTAGAGTATGACAACTGCAAATTTTTGTTTGGAGATGAACTACAACTTGAGAAAGCGTCAAGTATCTGCCCAAGTAAAAGATGAACAAAGAATTGTAGTCCTTCAGAAATGAATTTTGTAAAGCAAAAATAACAATATAAGATAGCCCTGGTCATTGAATTAATGAATTGACACCTGTCAGTAGAGATGAATTGTGAAAAATTATCAAAAGACATTGAGAAATATATCTTCAAATTAATGAATATCACTAAAAACACATGAACACAGGAAAAATAAAAAACTCTAAACTCATCACAGAAGGTACGCATTTATGAACTTTTTTTCTTAACTTAACTGTAATTGAATTTTTTTTTTACAGCAATGTTGCGTAAGAAAAAAATTCTATAATAATGATAGTCTACCAAGCACTTCAAATTCTTCAAAATTCCAAGAAAATTACAATTAAGAGGTGCTAACCTCACTACGATGTTTCTGCAACCAATTGTAGTAGCATGAATTCCTGAAGAGATTAGTCACAGCACGAATGCTAGTCAACAGATTCGCAGGAATTGTCGGACTTACAGTGACTTTCTTAATCACTTCCACTATAATGTCTGGATATAACACACGAGAAAATCAATGAAAGATTACACACCAGCAGAAGGTAGAGAAAAAAATATTCTACAAGATCAAGGAGTATCAGAACTTGTCATATTTCTGGTAGAAAGACAAGGATAACCAAAGTGTATAATCAAGGGGTCAAAAGGGGCACAATGTGGAGGAACAAAACTAAGGGAGAGAAAAGATAACTAACTACTAAGGTAACTTCTGAAAGCATATATAGTAACTGGTATAAATCTTTTCTCCGTCAACTGCAAACAAACAGTGTGGGGTGGTACCACTTACATAACAATGCTTACGTGTGACTAGTCAAAGAGTTAGTGTACAGACAGCCCACATGATCACTGGTGCAGGGGAAGCATGATGAGATGCTACTATGCTAGGATTCAATTACAAGGTATGGGACGGGAGTCTCACACTACAAGCATGGGAGTCTAGAGTGGTTCTCACTTCTCTCAATTTTCAGACCAATTTCACATAAAAAAAAATGGGATTCTATTGATTGCTATCATAATTTAATGTCAGAAAACAAAATTATGGTTAACATTGATACCGTTTTCTGCTTCAAAATGCTTGTTAAGTAAAATAGCCCCATCTGGATGAAGAACTATCATCCTTATGATATCAATGACTGCATAGAAAAAGCACAATAAGTAAGGAGACCATTTTCCTAAAGACTG